GCAATCAGTCCTCTCAACAACTGGGCCATTTCTCTAGCCCCCCAAAATTGATGTTTTTTTTTTTCTTTTTTGGTTTATCTATAGTTTTGGAGCTTGCCCTGGTCGTGCTGTAGGCCATGCTGGCCTCAAACTCACAGAGATCTGCTTGTCTCTGCCTCACAAGTGCTGGGATTAAAGGCATGCACCACCACTGCCCAGATAATTTTTTTTTAAACTTTTGTGTTTCAAAAGACACTTTCGAGAGTGAACTTTTGTGTTTCAAAAGACACTTTCGAGAGTGGTGAAAAGAAAGCCAAACACGGGAGTATATACTTATTCATCTCAGCATTCAAGAGGTGGAGGCAAGAAGATTAGAAACTTAAGGCCAGTCTGGGCTACATGAAACCCAGTGCCAAGAATAAAGAAAGAGTTCACAGATTGAGAGAAAATGTTGGCAAGTTGTGGAATGGATGAGGGACTTGCAAAGAAGTATTGTCTGCTAAAAGTCTGTTGAGAGGTGATTGTCGATTATATAGTATGTAGATATGTATGCTTATATATACACATGTATGTATGAGCCCTTTATATTATATATATGTTATATCCTTTATATGATACATAAAAGACTCTTAAAACCAAATTATCAGGCTCAGCAAGATGGTTCAGTGGGTAAAGGAGATTGTCACCGAGCCTGATGAGCTGAGTTCAATCCCTGGGACCCACATCACAGGAATAGAGAACAGATCCCTATTTTTTGACTTCCACATATGTGCTGAGGCATAAATATTTACACACACACACACAGAGAGAGAGAGAGAGACACAGACAGAGAGAGAAACTGAAACTGTGATAAAAACCCCACAAATAACCCAAACCAAACACAAATAACCCCATTAAAAACAAATAAAAGAACAGAATGGGGGGTGCTGGAGAGATGGCTCAGTGGTTAAGAGCACAGCTACTCTTCCAGAGGTCCTGAGTTCAATTCCCAGCACCCACATGGCAGCTCACAACTATCTGTAACTCCAGTTCCAGGGGATCCAGCATCCTCATACATACGTAAGTAGGCAAAACACCAATGCACATAAAATAGATTACTTTTTTTTTAAAAAAAAGAACAGAATAGGTATTTTTCAAAAGAGAACACATATAACTGAAAGTTCAAGAAAAGATGTTCACATCCACTGAGGCAGCTACAAGCAAACAAGAAGTCCTGGTGAAATGGGGAAACTGAGTCCTAAACCCCCATCTGTCAGCAATGGGAATATAAAAGTTTGTCGCTTCCTCAGTGTTAAAACACAGTTGGTGGGTTATGTGGGTGCCTTCCTTGTTCCTGTGAGAGACACAACTTAGCATTATGGGATTGGTAGCATGTTCCCACAGACTCTCCAGTGGAGGTGGATGTATTATGGGGCTTATGGCATGCTCCCACAGACTCCCCAGTGGAAGTGGATGCATTATGGGGCTAGCAGCATGCTCCCACAGACTCCCCAGTGGAAGTGGATGCATTAGTTACTACTGCTGTGATAAAATACTTAACAGAAAAAAACGTTTTTGGAATCCTTTGGCTCAGGATTCTAGTTGTTTCAATCTATTACAGAGAGGCAGGAGGGTGAGAGGCTCTGACTGTGGTAAGAGAAGCCAGGCTTGCTCACTCACTGTTGCACAGTCTAAAGGCTGGAACCTTCAAAGGCCAACCTCTCTCGTCTACGCCTGCCAGTCAGACCACAGAATCTAAAGGCTCCACAGTCTTCAAAATCAGGTCACAAACTGGGGACTTAGCGTCCAAAACATGAGCCTGTGGAGGACACTCCAGATTCCAATGACAGGTATGAGGAAAGGTTGGCCATCTCTCCTCACCCACTCAACACAGCCACCCTTTATCAACTGCAGAGCCTTCAAGTGGAACAGGCATCCACCCTTCCCCCAAAGGCCCTTCTGCTTTCTTTTCATTGGAGAAGCAAGGTCCTGAGGACCCTCATGCTGATCTTGGGGTTCCCTGTACACAAGTCTCCTGCCTGGGGACTGTGGCCATGACAAGGTATTGAGACCCATGTAAGGAGCAACTGCTCAGCACGCACACTGAACATACATGTGCATGCTCCACATACATGTGCACATGCCCCAAACCCCAGGTGCCACTGCGTGCAGCCATATATGGGTTTGCATGTGAGTGCAGCCCCACACAGAAGCCATGTGTGCACATGCACGTATACACCACTGCCACAATACCGTGATGCTGTGAACTGAAATGTTTCCTGCTGAAGAGGTGAGGAGAGGGGATCGAATCCTTGGCTGGGAAGTAATTAACAGATGTTACAGGGTCATAATGTCAGGTTGTTTTTGAGAGACGGGGCCTAGTTATGGGGAGAGGGTAGAAGCATGCTGGAGACATGCCCTGGGAAGGTATCTTCATCCCTACCTGGTCCCTTTCTGTTGCTTTCTCTGCTTCCAGGTTACAGTGAAGTAAGCAGCTGTATGTAATGCATTTCAGCCTTACCTCATGACTGCCTTGCCTGAGGCAGCAGAGCCGTGTAACTATGAAACAATGTAACCATGTAGCCATGCAGCCACGTAACCCTGCAACCATGCAGTCATGTAACCATGCAGCCACGTAACCCTGCAACCATGCAGTCATGTAACCATGTAGCCATGCAGCCACATAACCCTGCAACCATGCAGTCATGTAACCATGTAGCCATGTAACCATGCAACCATGCAACCATGCAATCATGCAGTCATGTAACCATGTAGCCATTCAGCCACGTAACCCTGCAACCATGCAGTCATGTAACCATGCAGCCATGCAGCCATGTAACCATGCAACCATGCAATCATGCAGCCATGTAACCATGTAGCCATGCAGCCATGCAGCCATGTGACCATGCAACCATGGACTGAACTCTATGAAATCAGTCTTCCCTCTTCAAATTGTTTGTATCAGGTCCACTGTTGTAGCAAAACAAAAAACAACAAAATACACACGTGCTCCTTGTATACAGTCAAATAGGAAGACATGTGTACACACTAGCACTTGTATTGCTGCGTGTACCTAGATCACATTTCCATGAATACCCAGGATGGGCCACATGTACACATACCATAAGTCATTTTCGGTAATATCACTCTTGGGACCCCAGCTTCCCCTGTATACAGCAGTGACTGTTCCTGTGGGGAGCAGCTGTGTAATTAGCCTGACTGGCAGCTCTGAAGTTGCAGACTGCAATTACTTTCCCATTTTATAGATAGGTAGGGATGCTGACACTTCTGGGAGTGAGCTGACGGATGTAACCAGGAGAGAAAACCAATGGTCAGTGATGATGTTGGGTGAAAGGGATCAGAGGAACCACAGGGTCAGGGCTGGTGACAGGATGTCATTATATTAGGTGAACAGCTGGTTGAGGATGGAGGCTGATGGAACTGGGTGGAGCCACACCGACAGCACATTGCTGGAAACGGAAGGCAGGGGATCAGACTTCAGGGAACAGAGGAACTGAACCCCCAAAGGCTCCTGGCACTCTCATCTACCTGACCTGACTGGAAGAAAGAATTTAAATACCTTCAAGGTCACAGCGAGACTGCTGCAGGTGCCCAGCCCCAGCTCCCTCTCCACGAGGCTGTTCTTGAGAACAGTGTCCAGTGTCCAGGCTTCCAAGTCAGACTCATAAAGCCCTGGTTGCTGTTCCATTTTGTACCTCAAGTTTGGGAACATTCAGCAGATGCACAGGGTTGGGGGGCTCACAAAGGATCTGGTGATTTTGGCTTCTGCATTTTGGCTTCTGCAGCAAGCCCCTGTGACTGGGAGGCTCACCAACCATAGACATCCATTGCTTACAGTTTTGGTCTACCCACTCTCCACTGCTTCCACAGGGGAATGATGTCCTAGCCAAGAGAATTAGGTCATGTCAAAATACTTTCTACATGTGTATAAAAATGTCCACTTAAAACCCAGTGCAATGAATATACGCCTATAAAATTTAAAAAGAAATGAAATTCACAGACGGCATCATCCTATACATAAGAATTTTTTTTACATATAAAATTCTAAGGTGTATACACACACACACACACACACACACACCATATAATGGAATAGTATTCAGCCGTTAAAAGAAATGAAGCATTGATATGTGTGTGGCAACACAGACGAACTTTGCAAACCTCACACTCAGTGAAAGGAGCCAGCTACAAAGGGCCACAGAGTGCATAATTACACAGAGAGGAAATGTCCAGAATAAGAAAAACACAGGGGTAGGAAGCAAACCAGTGGTTGCCAGGGGCACCACGTAATGGGTTTGGGGTTTCCTTTTGAGATGATGAAAATATTTTGGAATTAGAAGAGGTGGTGTCGCAATTCTGTGGGTGTGCTAAGTGTGCTGAGATTGTATGTTCTAAAGTGATTTAAATTATAGGATTTTCCCTTCTCTCTCTCTCTCTCTTTTTGTAAGGCAAGAAAGCTTTCATTTGGTGTGTGTTCTCTCCCCTTCTCTCCCCGATCCTCCTCCATGTCTTTGTTTCTCCTTCTCTTGGTCTCTCTGATTCTGCCTCTCCGCCTCTGTCCTGAGTCCCAGAAGCCACAGAAAGAAGTCTTGGCCCTGTTCAGAGCCCTCTCTTGCACCTGGTGCTGAGCCAGTCTCATGTGGACTTGCATGTGGATGGGACGCACCGGGAAGCAGAGACAGCCCAGCCCCTGACCCCCGGCAGCAGGAGGTCAACACATGGTAATTATTGCCTTAACCACTACACTTTAGGATAATTTGCTCTTTGCCAGCAGGCTAACCAACACCCAGCCCTCCTGCCATTTTCTCCTTTCCAAATCAGTCCAGAAGCCCCAAGGCCAGGTAGCTGGTATACTTTCCCAACACACTCCAAGCCTCTCCCACCCTAGTTCCCATTCCCTTGCCCCCGACCCAAGGCCCTCCTGAAGCATTCGTTGGGAGGAGGAGGGCGGAAACCCACCAGGTGGAGTTTGGAAGGCCTTATGATGCCCACATAGAGATGATCCTAATCGCCCAGGTTACCTTTGTCCAGAACAGGACCAAAGATTGCCAGGCTGTTGCTGACGGTGGTGCAGTTCCAACGCCGGCCTCGGAACTGGTGCTGACACTCCTGAATGCCAGCCTTGACACCTTCGGCCACGCTGGGCATGATTTCCACATAGTTCCTGCAGAAGCGCAGCTGCTTGGGCACCAGGCCTGGGATGCTGGCACACAGGATGGGCTGAGTGCTCAGGGAGGAGTACTGGGGTCCCACAGCCAAGGACCTGGTGGGAAGACAAGGCGGTTAGTGAGGGCATCTCTGGAAACAGACACTTGGCTACGTACATATTGTGCTGGGACTGGTGCTGCTTCTACCATGAAGGATACCTAGAGACAGGATGCTGCTGACCATGTAACTAAGACGGAGATTAGATGTCAAGCTGTCACAGTTCACTGTGTGCAGAAACCAGCCCAGCATTCCTGCTCTGTAGAGGTCTAGGCACCCTGAGCCTGTGGCACTGGAGGATGCAGAGACGGATGGAGAGCAAAGGATGAAGATGGTGGTTAAAGGGCCTCAATGGATCCCAGAGCAGATTGTATTGACTAGTTCAGGGCCTTCCCCAAGGAGGAGAACGGTCAGATATGGGGCAGGGAAGACCCCAGCTTCCAAGGCAAGGTATGAAATTTGCACTAAATTAATTCCTTCTCACTTTGGGCTATTCACCCCAAGATATAAAAACAGATGTCCTTAAAGTGTGAGTAGGGCATGGGTAGAAGGCTGGAGGTGAAGGCCAGGCAAGCATGAGGTCCTGAGATAGGATCCTTAGCACCCATGTAAAAACCAGATTGGCACATATGTACAACCATAGCACCAAGGGTGAGGGGGCAGAGACACAGCCAGTCTAGATAGTGAGTTCTGGGTTCAGTGACAGACCCTGTCTCCAAAACAAAGGTGTAGAGTGATAGAGGAAGATACCCTATATCAATCTTTGGCCTACACACACACACACACACACACACACACACACACACACACACGTGCACTATGCACAGCAGATACTAAGATCTTTGTATGAAATAGCACGGTATTTGTATACAGTCTGCACACCCTTCTGTACATGCCAAACCTAGATGACAATGTTCCTAACAGAGTGGAGTCACACTGTACGGCAGGGAATCCACACATTCAGTACACGTGCAGGGATTTCTCCAAATACTTTCTTTTTTTTTTTTTCCCTATTTTTGCTTGTTTTGTTTGTTTGTTTTATTTTTTAAGATAGGGTTTCTCTGTGTAGGCCTGGCTGTCCTAGAATTCACTCTGTAGACCATGCTGTTCTCGAACTCACAGAGACCCACCTGCCTCTGTCTCCTGAATGCAGGGATTGAAGCTGTGGGCCACCACACCCAGCTATCATCACCGCGTTTTAGAAACACTCACTATTAGGACTCATTCTGTAACTGAGGCTAGCCTGGCTATGTAGTCCAGGCTAGAACTTAATGATCCTTAGACTCCTACTGCTGGGATTGCAGGCATCACCACTGCCATCTTTTTTTTTTTTTTCCTGTCCTGGAACTAGCTCTTGTAGACCAGGCTGGCCTTGAACTCATAGCGATCCATCTACCTCTGCCTCCCAAGTGCTGGGATTAAAGGTCTGTGCCACCACCACCTGGCTTAGCCATCTTTTTTTGAACCACAACTTAAAAGAAAGATTGGTTAGGTCTTTGGGTACTGGTCATGAGGGAAGAGCAGAATTTTCTCATAGCTATGGCTTCTCCAAATAATGCTTCCATGCCATCAAGTACCTCCAGTCCCAATTTACGGTTTTCAGATCCCCAACACATCCATCTCTGGGGTCTACCCCACATAGAGTTGGTCTCTCCTATCTCCAGAAACACTCAAGGAACCTGTGCAGTCTGTGTCCTCATGTTCGCCCCATGACAGGGAGGACCTGTTCTTTGTTCCTTCCTCCTCTCTGACTTTGATATGGATAAGGCCTGTGGGCTAGGTGGGTAGGTTTCTTACATGCACATCTACTTATGATAGGCACCATGTTCACAGGAAGGTAGGCCTGGTGCAGGCAGGGACTGTGTCTGCTCTCAGTAGCTTTGAGTCTTATGTATTTAGTCTGGTTCAAAGGTGTCCCCTTCTCTGCCTGGAGTAGGAATTAGCTTGTGTTCTCTTCTCTAGGTGCAGATCACCATGACTGTTTGTGTGCCCCGGCTGGCACTAGATGGACCCATCTAGGCACCTTCGAGTATGGGGAGAGCAGACACTTGGCAGAATGAAGAGATCACTGTCCAAGGTCCTGGCTTGAGGGTTGCCATGCAGGCATATGAAGGGGACTGGGAGCTGTGCACAGAGAGAAAGCGCTTGGTCAGGTTCCCAGAGTAGAGAGAGAGACAAGACCAAAGGCTGAACACCTTAGAGCCAGAAGGTCCCAACATGTCTTGTCAGGCCCCTCCGCTTTCCTCCTAATACAGTGGCTCCAAAAGGACTTTGTCTCTCCTTCCACCAGTCCTTGGCTGTCCTCTGCACCCACACTCACCCCGAGACTCTCCCACCTGTGGGAAAGCAGAATTTCCCCTTGGTTGAACAATGTATCTCTCTCCTCTCTCCCTTCCTTCCTTCCTTTTTTGTTTTGTTTTGTTTTTTTGTTTTTTGAGGCAGGGTCTCTCTATGTATCCCTGGCCATCTTGGACTTTGCTATGCAGACCAGGGTTGACTTAAAACTCACAGAGTTCTGTCTGCATCTGCCTCCTGAGTGTTGTTTCTTTCTTTGAAAAAAGCATTTATTTTTATTTTATCTTATGGTCTGGGTGTTTTTCCTGTGTGTTTGTGCACCACCACACTTATTTCTGCAGTGCTGTGGATCAAACACAGGCTTCATCCATGCTAGGCAATCTTTCTATTCATTGAGCTATGGCCATGGCTCCCAGAGAAGAGATAAGGGCATCTGCCTATCTGCCCAGAAGAGGGGCCATCCTCATTTTCAAATACAGTTAACTAGGAGACTTAGAGTAAGAGTTTCTTTCTTTCTTTTTCGTTCTTTCTTTTTTTCTTTTTGATTTTTTTCGACACAGGGTTTCTCTGTAGCTTTGGAGCCTGTCCTGGAACTAGTTCTGTAGACCAGATTGGTCTTGAACTCACAGAGATCCACCTGCCTCTGCCTCCCGAGTGCAAAGATTAAAGGCGTGCACCATCACCGCCTGGCAGAGTAAGAGTTTTTTAAATAGCAGAAAACAAGAACCCGGCCATGTCTGTCTGTTTTCACCATAGGAATTGCCCAGAACCAGCAGCCAGTTCCTAAGAGTGGGTAGTCTCCTTTGTTAGATGCCAGAAGCCAGGGCTCATTCTGGATGCTGATGCTGTAGGGTAGGAGATGAGCTAAAGAAGAGGATGCGGCAGAGGCACATAGTCATGAAACCGCTGCAGGTGGCATGGAGTTATCAGACCTCAGCCTCCTTCTCACCCCAGGGAAGGCACAGAGGGGACTTCCCAGGTCCATGGCTGCTCCCAGCCCCCTTCCTGGGGATGCTGAGTCAGCCTGTTCTGCCTCCCCTCCTCTGGGCAGGTCCCTGCTTGCCACCTCCCCTGGTAGGCCAGGGTGTGGGCAGCTCCAGCAGGATCCTCCTGCTCTCCCTCACGGATTTAAGGAGGTAGAAGAGAGCCTTCTCGGGACCCAAGGGCCCCTTAAGTCTCTTGAATCATAGCCTGGATCATTTCTCGTTCCCTGAGAGCTAGACCATCTGGAAAGCCCAGGCATGGAAGACTTGTGGGAAGAACGCTGAGGGCTGAGCAAGGGGTACGGCACGTGTTGTATGATGGAAAGGCAGGGCAGGGGCAAAAAGAGTCATTAACGTCAGGATTTCAATTGGGTGGTGATTTTTTTTTTGATGGTCAATCTAGTTTTGCTTTAGTTTGTTTAGTTACTTCTTCCTCCCTCCCTCCCGCCTCATCTTTCCCTGTTTTTTGTTTTTTGAGGCAGGGTCACATGCATGTCAGACTAACTTCCAATTTGTCACATTGCTAAGGGTGACCTTGAGATCTTCATCCTCCTGCCTCCACCTCTTGAGTGCTCAGATTGCAGGTGTGGATTTTGTGTGTACTAGCAAGCCTTCTACTAACCAAACTACATCCTTGAGCTCACTCTGTAGACCAGGTTGGCCTCGAATTCACAGAGATCCACCTGCCTCTGCCACCTGCCAACAACATTCCCTAGTGTTGGGGTGAGGGATAGCCATACAAAGTTAAACATCAATTTACTAATTTATTTTTCTTTATGTTTTTGAGACAGGGTCTCATGTATCTTGGAATGGTCTCTAACTCCGTATGTAGCAAAGGATGACCTTAAGCTTCTGATTCTCTCCAGTACTATTTCAAGTGTCTTCCCAGACATTTGGCCAGCTTACCATTTACTGAGTGTCTCTTTCTCCTCCTTCCTCTTCTTGGCTAATGCCCTGCCAGGCAACCATTACTGAGCAACAAGCTCTTGCTAGGTAGCCCAGGCTAGCCTCAAACTCATGATTCTCTAAGCTCAGCCGCCCTAACCTGGGATCCCAAATGTGTACCACCACACCTGATTTACTCCTTCTTAACACCAGGATGAGGGGAAACTGACTACAACGTAAGAGCTAAGAGCACTTCATCTGCTTATCAGTGGATAAAGGTGCCTACTGCCAAGTTTGACACGCTTGATTTTGATCCTTAGAATCCACACCATGAAAAGAGAGAACACCCCCACCCCCATAAGCAAGCTGTGGCATGTGCACAAGTACAAGTAGACACATACAATAAATAAATAAAATATATTAAAAACTAACATAGCCCAGATGGAAAGTGGAGACAATACAACCATGAGGAACCACACCAACTGAGCTACAGGGAGGACAGCAAATTTGTATTTTGTAGGGTTCATGCTACGGTGTGCACCGGACATATACATACTGTAATCGGCAAGAGCATCTGTAATTTCTTCTCCAGCTGTCATCAGCCACCATAAAGGTAGCTCCCGCCCCTCCGTGGTGTTAGAAACCGTGGCTGTAAAGGCAGCGTGTCGCCCTCACGGCAATCAGCAGAGCTGGGAATGAAAACTCCATTTCTCATTCTGGAACATGAACATAGAGGCCTCACATAATACCCAGAGGCCACACTGGAATATGACTCCAGGGTTCGAATGTCCACTGGTCTCTACCGCTGTAGACTGAGAGGCTGGATCACTCCGTACCCAGAGGAGGTAGATGCTTACTAGGACAAGCAACTTCCTGCTTGAGTCCCCTATCTCTA